CAGTGAAAGGTTATACTTTTTCAAGTCCCACTTAATAGCACTGCCAACAACTCCTTCCACCTCTTTGCCCATGATGAAAAGTAAACTGATGGGGCTGTCATTGGCTAAGTTGGATCTTTCCTGTGTTTTTAAACAAGAGCATCCTGGGCAGTTTTGCACATTGTCTTGTAAGTGCCACAGTCATATCTGCACTGGAACAGCTTGGCTAAGTATGCAACTATTTCTGGAACATGCATCTTAAGTACTTTGTCAGAATGTTGACATGGCCCATGATTTTCTCAGTATACACAGCAGTAAGAGAAATTGCTGGAAAAGCTCAGCAGATCTGGCAACATCTGGAAAAAAAATCAGAGTTAACGTTTTGGGTCCAGTGACCCTCCCTTCCTCTTCTCAATACCCAGTGTTTTCAGCCATTTCTTGAAATGCTGTGAAATGAATTGAATTCATTAAAGACTGGCATCTGTGATGCTGGGACCTAACCAGGAGACCTGCCATAACTAACCCTGAGAAAAGAGGAATGTAAATATCAACCAGGATTCTGACTCCTGAACTCTATGCTAGAAATTGCAAGTTCAGGGTCAGAACTTGTGTACAATGTCGCACATTGTTACTACCGCCACTCCATTTCAAGTTTCTCAAAGGCAAAGTCGCTTCGTGTTTAAAGTTTAGACAGGACTGGCACTTGCAAAACTGTTCCACAAGAATCAGCACTTTCAAATTCTTTACATTCACAGAGCCCGGGAATCACAGAATTGTTACGGTGCAGAGGGAGGCCATCCATCCTATTGTGTTTGCAATGGGTCTCTGCGTATTTTCACTTCGTGCCAATCGCCAGCCTTTTTCTCATAATCCTGCATGTTCTCCAAGGAAAACAGCCTCATCTTCTCCAAACTTTCCTCCTAACTGTCTCATCTCTGGAACCATTCTTGCCAACTTTTTCTTTCGATAGTCTGTGAGGGATACCAGTTCCCAGCCGTTAGTCTTCATTGTACTAGTTAACTACAGTCTCAAAGGTTACTGATTTGAATTGGAAAACTACTTAATATAATAAAACCAATTTTTCTTATGATCTAGGTGGTCACAAATCTGCGATAACTTTATTGTCTAATGACTGATGAATTAAGTAGAACACAGGCAGCCAGGCAGGACTATTGTAGATAACTCCATTTCCAAGAGCTGGAATAACTTGCTTGCTGTGCTATATTTATTTTTTCAGTATTACCTTCTTGCAGGGAAGTACTTGTTCTCTGCACTTTCTGGCTGTTCTCAGGCAGATAATGAAACCTCATCTTTTGATGAATCACCCTGAAATTCCTACTTAGTTTCCATCACAGCCTGCATAAAAACAAAGTGCATATTTGTGAAATTTTTTAATATGCTGACTTCAAAACAAATGTTTAAACCTCAAGATGTAGTTAGTTTTTCCGTTCAAAGCATTTCAAAAGCTTTTTCCAGTTTTGCAGCAGGATGTATAGCTATTCTGACTTAAGTGATTAAAGTACTGAAAAGACTTAAGATAATCTATGTTCTCACATTTCTTGTAACAAAGCCTGATTTGACAGTGTTCCAAGCATTGGGCTTTGAACGAAGTATCTGAATATCTCTTTCATAGTATTAGTAAAGAGCCCCACAGATTCATTGTAACGGAAATAACACCATAAGCTACAAAGTTGATTTTCACAGTTTTAGTGTAACAACAAATTTGAAGACACTTGCTAATTTACAGAAACACTTACTTAAACATTTACTTTTGTTTCATGTATTGTGAGACGGTATATTTTTTGATTTATTATTGTTCTACTTCATTTAGAGTCATACAGACCGTTTCATCCAACTTGTCCATGCTTATCAGGCATCCCAATCTGACCTAATACTATTTGTCCCATATCCCTCTGAACCCTTCCCATTCATATGCCCATCCAGATGCCTTTTAAATGTTGTAATTGTACCCGCCTGCGCCATTTCCTGTGGCAGCTCGTTCCATACATGGACCACCCTCTGCATGAAAAAGTTACCCCTCAGTTCCCTTTTAAATCTTCAATGGGCTGAATGGCCTGCTTCCACACTGTAAGGATTCTAGGATTTGATGATACCCCTCTTATTAATTTTGAATGGGCCCACCACCACCCTAGGAAAGGGACCTTGGCTATGCCCATGCCCCTCATGAATTTATAAGTCCCTATAAAGTCACCCCTCAGCCTCTGATGCTCCAGGGAAAATAGCCCAACCTATTCAGCCGCTCCCTAAAACTCAAACCATCCAGTCCCAGTCACAACCTTTGTTTGGTATCACATTATCTACTCCTGCATATTTCATATGAAATTAAATAAATTTAAACTGTCACTGCCTGTTCAAAGTATGAAAGAGAATCCAGGAAGGGATGAGTCAGAGATGGATTATGTAACTAAAGAATTTGAAGCATGATTGATGTAATTCATAAGATTAGGAAAGAAGTAGAAAGTAACATTTGTGCTGTTTGCAGTGCAATGTTCTGCTTGTCCTACAAAGAAAAAAGATAAAATTGAAACTTGTGAGTTGCCCTGGTGACACCTTTTATCTCTGTTTAAGCAAATCTTTTTGTCATCAACAGAGCTGTGATTTTTCAACAAGAGTGCTCTATTTAGAAAAGTCAGTTTTGACCATCTCAGAACATTGTGTAGTCCAGGTTTCCATCGAAAATACTTGCTACCTTTTTTGATGCTGCCATTGTCTCTAAATTCTCAGGCTGCTGGCCTAGCATTTTTTAAAAATGTTATCTAATGATGTTGGTTTTGCTGGCTCGGCCAGCATTTTTTGCTAAACCCTAACTGCCCTGGAGAAGCTGGTGATGAGCTGCCTTCTTGAATTGCCACAGTCCCTGGGATGCAGGTTCAACCACAGTTCTGTTAGGAAGGAAGTTTTAAGGTTTTGAACCAATGACGGTGAAGAAACAGCAATATAATTCCAAACCAGAATGGTGAGTGGTTTAGAGGGGAACTTGCAAGCAGTGGTATTCCTATGCATCTGCTACCCTTGTTCTTCTAGGCAGTGGAAATCCTGAGTTGGAAGGTTCTGGTGGAGGACCTTTCGTGAATTACTGCCATGCATTGTGTAGATAGTACACGTTGCTGCCACAGTATGTTAGTGGTTAAGGGCGTGAATGTTGAAGGTGATGAATGGGGGGTCAGTCAAGGGGGCTGTTTTGTCCTGTCAAGATTTGTGAGTGTTGTTGGAGATTCATTCATCCAGGAAAATGGTGAGTATTCCAATGCACTCCTAATCTTTGCCTTTTAGATAGACCAGCATTAGGAAGAATGGAGATGAGTTACTTGCTGCAGATTTCCTAGCCTCTGACTTACTCTCATAGCCAAAGTATTTATATCACTAGTCGAGTTCAGTTTCTGGTCAATGGTATCCTACAGGGTGTTGATAGTTGAGGATCCAGCAATAGTAATTTATCAAGGACATCAAGGTGTGATGGTTAGATGCTGTCTTGTTGGATATAGTCAGTGTCTGGTACTTGTGTTACTTGAATGTTAATTGGCCAGGATATTGTTCGGATCTTGTTGCATATGGACACTAGTTACTTTAAAGCCTGAGGTATATCATGAACGGTGCTGAGAATTGTGCAATCAACATATGATGTTATTAGTGATCTTATTGGCCATTGATGAAGTGACTGAAAATGGTTGGGCCTAGGACACTATCCTGCAGAACTCCTGCAGAGATGTCCTGGGGCTGAGATAATTGAACTCCAGTAATCAGAACCGTCTGCCCTTTGTGCTAGGTATGACTTCGACTAGTGCTCAGATTTCTCCCTATTCCTGTTGACTTTAGTTTTGCTAGGGCTCGTTGGCGCCATATGTCTGTTACCTAAATGCTGCCTCGATGTCAAAGGCAGTCAGTCTCCCCTCACCTCTGGAATTCAGCTCTTTTTTTATCCATGATGAAGTGAAGGTTATAATGAGATATAAAGTGAAGTGGCCTTGATAAGGGGGATATATGTGGAAACTCCTGTTCCAGTTAGTTGTTTGATTGTTCACAACCAATTATGATGGGATTTGGCAGGACTGCAGAACATTGACCTAATCTGTTGTCTTTAGATTTGCTTTGTTTAGTCTACAGCATACTTATTTTGCTGTTTACCATGTATGTAATCATTTGCTGTAACTTCACCATTTTGTCACTTTACTTTTACATATGTGTAGTACTACTCCAGACATATTCCCTAAACTTCTCGTTGAACCAGGGTTGGTCCCTTGCTTTGTGATAATGATAGCATAAGGGATTTACCCAGCCATGACATTTGACAATTAGACATTCAGTGTAGGCATCACCTGAAAAGTACAAAGTTTGGGCAACGTTCTTTGTTGAAGGCCTTTTACTTTACCTCCTCTTTTGATTGATAAGAATGCACTTTCTGTCTCTAATAGTTTTTTCTTTTCTTTTTGAGCCTGTGTATCTGCAGGTTATGTCCCCAGTCCTGCTAAAATTTACTTCTGCTGGAAGTGTAGTCATTGCCAATCTGTAGTATACAAATTTTTTACTTGTCAAGTTTCCAATCATTCGTAGCTTTTTTAATTGAATGAATGTTTTGCTGCTTGGCAGAGAAATTTGGGAATATGGGGGAGATTTTCCTTAGGTTGTATGTGTGTGGGGAGGAGTATGTAAATTGAAGGAAATCTGACGAGTTCCTTGTGGGTGTGTGCTGGCAACAACTTGATTTCCCAATAGTTACCAACTCTGATAGTCACATCCTGGTATATCTTTCCTTATATATTTCAGAATTAACAAAATCAAGAGAATATACATTGCCTCCACCCTATTCACAACCAAGATTGTACATTATCTGCATAGATTTGCATTCTTGTGAACTGTTTATTTTTGTTTGCTGGTACATGATATTTTAACACACAAAACACGTTGTACCATGCGTATTTGTTTTCTCACTATTTGTTTAATTGTTGCTTGGAATAAGGTTAGATGCCGTCACCAACATTGATTGTTTCTGTACCTGTTAGGATCTTGAACGAGAAATTTCCTTTCAAGAGGATAGTGGTTTGTACTACTACTATTATAAAAAGATGTTGCAGGCAACATCAATCCAAGAAGGTAATTTTTAAAATTTTGCCATGTACTTTTGATAGGTTTTTTGTTTGTTACAAGCAACAATAGTTTGAGGTCAGTCATAACTTTTAGTAGAACATCTTTGTTTTGTTGTAGGGGCCTTTTTTATTTTTACACTCTGGCCAGACCTTTACTCCACCATTGTCTTGGGTTTTTTTAAAAAGCTTGTATCTGAAGTGCAATTATTTTGTCTGGATGTTCTGAATTGTAACCTGCATTAGTTTACTCTTGTGCATGTGGTTTAGTATGTTATATGTTCACAACTCCTAATGCTTTTGGAGCTCTGATATTTCACGTTTGTTTGTGCTTCATTGCTAATGATCTCTGAACGGTTGTGATCACTCATGTATAACCACGTTACCTTTCATGGAGAACGTGTATTAGACAAGGGACTTTATACATAATGTTGTTTAAAAGTGATTTGCTCAGTATGTTTAAACCAGCTTAGAGCTATATTTTTCCTTGTATATGTCACACTATTTCAATATCCCCATTTAATGGAAAGTATTTTGTTTTACCATTAGGTCTTTTTGAATTGACACATGACAACAAGACATTATCATTGAGGACTCTTAATTCAGTGCAGCAAATCAATCTGTATCCAGAAGTCTTTGCTGGTATACTGTACCGTATTACTGGTAGTCAAGTATGTATCTTCTGGTAGCCAATTATAGTGAATCTATAGATGCTTAATTTGAATGAAATTTCGCTTAACATTTTTATTTTGACAATAAAGACATTAAGAGAATTATTACTAATGTTTTCTGGTGTTGGAAGAGTACATCTTTCAAAACCATAAAAGCACCACTAACATAGATGCTCAAGACAACCTTGATCATCTTCCATGGTGAAGTAACTGCCCCTATATACAGCTTCGTCATTACTGATTGCTCTGTCCCTCCCATTTCAACTGCATGTGTCCAATACTGCAGTACTCAACTCATGCTCAGTGTTCCTGTTGGTGATATCTGCTAAGCATGAAATATCTCACCATTATCCTGTAACCCATGAGAGACCAACAAAAGCACTGTTGTTTTGTCACCCACCGGCTACAGAATGTTAAGTGTTCCTACCAACATCCTCACTGAAAGCACTGACCTCCACTGAAGTTGATGACTTGAAAATCAATACCGAACCTGGCTATTAAAATGTACATTCCATTAGAACATGATGAGGATCTAGCAGTGGCCATACCTTCAAAATATTGTGGGGAAATGAATTTTGCCTTTAACATTTTTAAAATTTAAGAGTAAATCCAATATGAATCACATGGATTTTCATGTTCTGTTAGCAAGTTCCATCTTTGATTTAGGCCCATATAAAATTAACCATCATAGCTGGGAAAAAGAAACACCGGTATGCAAAGTTTGGTCAAAACCATGGAAAATTACACTCCAGCACTAAACTTTAAACCCATAGCACACACAGTTTTCTTCTCTTGTTCTATTTGCAATACTAGTTACCTCTGCATACTGTATTAGCTGGGGAAAGTTGGATTTTAGTACAAAATTCCTGAAATAACAGATGCCCATTGCAAAGTGATTTAATTTTTTGTGGAAATTGGGTTCTGAAAACAAGCATTTTAATGAATGTATATTAAGGTTATATGCAGTTATTCTGGAGTATTTCTTCAGGCGATCAGTATAATGTTTTGTGGGTATCTGATCTGTAACATTATTAATGCCATGCTTAGTAACTTGCAATTAAAGTAAAACAAATTACTTAGTGCTTGATAGTTCTGTGGCACCCAGAGGGAATTTCAGCTTTTAGTGAATATTGATTGAAGTTAGAACTGTCATCCAGTTATATAAAGACAGTGTTCTCGAGACTTTACTTCATAGACATGTATATTATTTGTAAACTTGCTTTGCAGTAACTGGCATTATTAATTTTTTTTCCTACAGGAAGCAATTGAGCCAGTGTATTTCTACATTGGCATAATATTCGGATTGCAAGCAGTTTATGTGACAGCACTGTATGTCACAGGTTGGATACTGAGTGGGACATGGATGGCAGGCATGCTTACAGTAGTATGGTATATTATCAACAGGTAAGCCTGGTTTAGTCTAGAAATCATTATTTGAACCTTCACAAATCAAGCATCTAATTGAACCTAGTAGTGCTCTTCAACTGTATGAAAGCGTAATTTAGAGCATCCACGGGCCTAATTAACTTTTATCACTTTATGCTAATACTGAATTTCCTTATTCTGCCATTCTCTACTGAAATGTGAAATGGTTGTTGAAGATCTTTTTCAAACATTGGCCCACTAAATTCTTATTGATGGTCATCATTCTTTAACATGGTGCATTTTGTGTGGCACCTTATTGATGCCTTTTGGAAATCCAAGCATATTACATCCACTGTTTCTCCTTTATCTGTCCTGTTCATTATTTCCTGAAAACACTCCATAGATTTGTCATTAACATTATTTCTCCTTCATAACTTCTCTTTGATAAAACTATTTGATTTATATTTGGCACATTTATTTGCATCTTTTGAGGATATAACTAGTAAGTAGTTAAACCTTTGGTAAAACCATGTTGACTTTGTCTGATCCTACTGTGATTTTCTAAGTTCATTGTTAAGGTTTATTTAACAACTAATTTAATATTTTCCTGATGACTGATGACAGGTTGACAGGCTGACAGGCCAGTAGTTCCCAGTTTTGACTCTCCAGTCTTAAATAGTTGTGTTACATTTCGTAATTTATAATCTAGATGGGGCCATACCAGAATCTAGATGCCCAAACTGCAGTAAGTATTTCATGGTATAAGTAGTCATGCCTGAGCAGTCTATTCAAGATGGTGTGGAGTTTCCTTTTATAAACTGGATTGTGCAGGAATTCATAGTTTTAATATATTCTTAAGCTTTTTCTTGGCTAATGCATGTTCACATAGCTTAATCAAAATTGTCGTTCCAGATGTTGATTTAATCTGCCTAGTTGATTGCAAAATCTTTCACGCATACCTTACATGACCTTGGGATGTCCCAAAGTTTTACATTCATTGAAGTACTTTGGAAATGTAAACATGGAATCATAAAATATAGGAGTAGGACATTCGCCCCTTCGGGCCTATTGTGCTATTTAAGATGATCATCCAACTCGGTATCCTGTTCCCACTTTCTTCCCAGACCCTTTGATCCCTTTAGCCCTAAGAACTATATCTAATACCTTCTTGAAAATATTCAATGATTTAGCCTCAACTACTTTCTGTGGCAGAGAATTCCACAGGCTCACCATTGTCTCTGGGTGAAGAAATTTCTCCCCATCTCAAACCGAAATGTCCTTAGACCGTGATGCGTGGTTCTGGTATGTATGACATCCCTCCCTTTTTTTTTCAAAACTCCAGTGGATATAATCTTGACTGATCCAGCCTTTCCATCGTATGTCAGTCTTGCCATTCCAGGAATTAGTCTGGTAAGCTTTGTTGCACTCTCCATAGCCAGAGCATCCTTCCTCAGAAAAGGAGACCAAAACTGCACATGACTCGAGGTATGGTCTCACCAAGGCCCTGTACAGTTGCACCAAGACATTGCTGCTCCTGCACTTGAATCTTCTCACTATGAAGGCCAACGTACCATTTGCCTTCTTGACCGCCTGCGGCATGTGCATGTTTTTCTTTCCGCTACTGGTGTACAAGATTCTCAAATCCTTTTGCACCTCCCCCTTTCTCAAACTATTGCCATTCAGATAATAAGCTGCATTCCCGTTTTTGCTGTCAAAGTGAATGTGGTCACTGATGTGCAAATTAGCTGCAATATTACCCAAGGTCCATGAGAGAGAAAATATTCCTAGTGATGTTGATTCAGAAAAAAAATCATCCAATACACGCTGGGAATTTCCTTGCTTTATTGTAAATCATAAGAAATAGGAACAGGAGTAGCTATTTGGCTTATCCAGCCTGCTTCATATGGGAATTTTTAATATCTATTCAATTTAACATCGTATCCAAAGACTGTGGCTCCAGTTGTGTGACACTTTCTCTGTACTGCAGTCGTGTATCTGCCAAGGAGCTTCAGTTTCTGCAATAGGCCTTGAGTCTACAATTTGCTGACTAACCGTGAGCCAAGCCTGATGCCTCCACTTAGAATTAAGAATTGAATTGCCTTACCTAATGTCCTTCTGATTTCATTATTTATTTTAGGATCGCTAATGTCCTTCTGATTTCATTATTTATTTTAGGATCGATACAACCAGAGTGGAATATACCATTCCTTTAAGAGAAAATTGGGCATTGCCATATTTTGCATTACAGGTTGGAGCACTCACAGGCTATATGAAGACCAATGTTAATTCTACAATGGAGGTGAGTGTCGTGAATTTAGGTGTCTTTTTTTCTATGATGCTTTATTTCTAAATGTAAAATTTGCATATTCTTGCAACCTATATTTTCAACTCCTGTTTCTAACTTTTAGCTGTTGCCTCCAGTGGTATCACACATCACTGTACTTTAGGTACTACCTGTAGAGTCATAGTCATACAGTAGGGAAACAGACCCTTTGGTTCAACTCCTCCATGCTGACCAAGTTTCCCAAACTAAACTAGTTCCAACTGCCTGCGCTTGACCCATTACCCTCTAAATCTTTGCTATTGATGTAGCTATCCAAATGTCTTTTAAATGTTGTAACTATCCCTGAATCTACACTTCCTCTGGCAGTGCATTCCGTATCCGAATGGAAAAAGTTATGGAAAAAGTTGCCCCTCAGTTCCCTTTTTAAATCTTTCCCTTCTTACCTTAAGACTATACCCTCTAGTTTTGATCTCCCCTGCCCTAGGGAAAAGATCTTTGCTGTTCACCTTTAACTATGCCCCTCATGATTTTTATTTACCTTTTTATGAGGTCACACCTCAACTTCCTATGCTCCAGTAACCAGGATCCCAGACTCCCCTTACAACTCGAACCCTCCAGTTCCAAGAGGGGAACTTGTAAATCTTCTCTGCACCCTTTCCAATTTAATAATGTCCTTCCTATTGCTGGGTGACTAGAGCTGTGTACACTGCTCCAAAAGTGGCCACATCGTGTACAACTGCAATGTGATGTCTCAACTCCTATACGCAATGGTCTGAGCAGTGAAGGCAAGTGTGTCAAGCGCCTTCTTTACCACCCTGTCTACCTGTGACGCAACTTTCAAAGAACTATGTACCTGCACCCCTAGGTCTCTCTGTTTGATAATAGTCCCCAGGATCCTACCATTAACTGTCTAAGTCCTGCTGTGTTTGTCTGACCAAAATGCAACACCTTGCATTTTCCAAATTAAATTCTATCTGCCACTCCTCAGCCCATTGGTCCAATTTATCAAGATCCATTTGTACTCTTAGATAACCTCTTTCACTGTCCACTATATCACCAATTTTTTGCGCTATCCACAAACTTAGTAGCCATGCTTCCTAAATTCTCAACAAAATGTTTTATATAAATGACAAACAACAGTAGACCCTGCACTGATCCCCTGTGGAGCACTGCTGGTAGCAGGCCTGCAGTCCGAAAAACAGTGCTCCACCACTACCCTTTGTCTCCTACTGTCAAGCCAATTTTGTATCCAGTTGGCAAGTTCTTCCTGAATCCCATGTTTTCTAACTTTACTGACCAGTCTACCATGTGAAACCTTGTTAAAGGCTTTACTAAAGTCCATGTAGACAACGTCAAGTGCTTTGCCCTCATCTATATTCTTGGCCACATCATCAAAAGCTCAATGTTTGTGAGACATGATTTCCCATGTACAAAATCATGCTGATTATCCCTAATCAGTCCTTGCCTCTCCAAATGTATGTCAACTCTTTCTCTCAGAATCCCCTCCAACAATTTACCCACTACAAATGTCAGACTTACCAGTCTATAGTTCCCAGGCTTCTCTTTTTGCAGCCTTTCTTAAATAAAGGCACACATTAGCCACCCTCAAGTCCTGTGGCACCTTGGCTGTAGATGACTTGAATAACTCAGCTAAGGGCTCCGCAATTTTTTCCCTAGCTTCGCACAACATCTGGAGATACACTTGATCAGATCCTGGAGATTTATCCACCTTTTTATGTTTTTGTAAGACCCCCAGCACCATCTCTTTTGTAATGTGGACTGTTTTCAAGACATCAATATTTATTTCTGTGTTCCCTAGCTTCCAAGTCTTTCTCCACAGTAAAAACTGATGCGAAATGCTTGTTTAGTATCTCTCCCATCTCTTGTGGTTCCAAACATAGATGACCTTGTTGATCTTTAAGGGGCCCTATACTCTCACTAGTTGCTCTTTGCTCTTAATGTACTTACAGAATCTCTTTGGATTATTCTAACCTTTTATCCACCAAGACTATCTCATATCCCCTTTCTGCCCTCCTGATTTCCCTCTTAAGAATACCCCTATCCTCTTATACACTTCAAGAGATTCACTTGATCTCAGTTGTTTCTATCTGCTGTATGCCTCCTTATTCTTGATCAGAGTCTCAATATCTCTATTCATCCATTGTTCCCTACTCCTACCATCCTCACCCTTCACTCTAATAGGGATATACTGCCTCTGAACTCTTGTTATCTTACTTCTGAAAGCCTCCCACTTGCCAGTCATCCCTAAACCTACGAATAGTCTACCCCAATCAACTTTTGAAAGTTCCTGTCTCATACTACTCCAGTTTAACTTCTTTGATAAGGCCTATCCTTTTTCATAACAATTTTAAAACTAATAGAATTATGATCACTGGTCCCAAAGCACTCCCCCACCAACACTTCAGTCACTTGCCCTTCCTTATTTTCCAAGAGAAGATCAAGTTCTTTCTCTAGTAGGTGTATCTACATATCGAAAATTTCCTTGAACACAGTTAATAAATTCCTCTCCATCCAAACCCTTAACACAATGGTACTTTCAGTCTATGTTTGGAAAGTTAAAATTCCCTTCTATTACAACCATATTATTCTTACACGTAACTGAGATCTCTCTACATATTTGCTCCTCAGTTTCCCTCTGACTATTCCCGGGGGGCTATAGTACAATCCCATCAAGATGATCATCCCTGTCTTCCTTCTGATTTTCACCAAATAGCTTCACTGGATGACTTCCCAGGAATGTCCATTCCAAATACAGCAGTAATGTTTTCTCTAATCAAAAATGTCACTGTTCCCTCCTGTCTTGCCTCCCTTCCTTTCTGTCCTTCCTATCACATCTAAACCCTAGAACATCGAGCTGCCAGCCTATCTCTCCCTCAGCCATGTTTTTGTAATAGCTATGATGCCCCAGCCCCATGTTCCTTTACATGCACCGAGTTCACCTGCCTTAACGGTCAGGCCTCTTGCATTGAAATAAAAGCAGCTCAATCCTTCAGAGTTGCTTTGTTCTCTAGCATGCTTTTGCCTGTCTGTCTATGAACTTACTCTCTTTAACTTCTGAACCATCCTTATCTGTCTCTCGATCCTCACTACTGCTTAGGATTGTCCCTCTCCATACTATTTTAAAGGCTCCTTTGCAGCACTAGCAAATCTCTCCGCCAGGATATTAGTCCCCCTCCAGTTCAGGTGAAATCCATTCCTTTTGAACAGGTCTTTTTTGCCCAGAAGAGATCCCAATGATCCATAAATCTGGATCCTTGCCCCTTGCACCATCTCCTCAGCCACCGATTTTTATCTGCCCTTTCTTCCTGTTCCTACTCTCGCTAGCACATGGCTATGAGAGATGTTGATGGATTGGATAGGATTTGAAAAAAGAACACCCCTTTGGTCAATAACTACAGCGAATGGACTCAAAAATTAGGAGGAGAAGATCCAGAGAGGCGATGCTGAGAATTTTGACCATCTGAATTATCAGGACCTGGAATGCCCTATCTGATAAGGTGGCGGAAGCTGACTCCATCAACAATTTTAAAAAGGGAATCGTAGGGTTTGTTGAGAATGAGAAACAAGGTTATGGACGAAATGCACAGATGCAAAAAAAAATCACAAGTCTCATCTTTCATGTGAATGGCCAAATGACCATGGCACATGGCACCAGAACTAATCCATATGTAGAGGTTTTCCTCATAGAAACAGGCCGTTTAGCCCGACAAGGCAACGCTAGTTTTTATTATTCCTCTTGCCCATAACCTTCCTTTCCTTTTTCCCACATGGCCTTAACTAATTTTCCCTTAGATGCTACTGCTAGCCTGGACAGAGTAAGTCAATTACCATTACCACTGACGAAATTAGCAATCATTGTAGAACCATGGAAATTGAGAATACTGATAATGAGGTCATTTGGCCATTCACATGAAAGATGAGACTTTTGTGATTTTTTTTTTTTTTGCATCTGTGCATTTCGTCCATAACCTTGTTTCTCATTCTCAACAAACCCTATGATTCCCTTTTTAAAATTGTTGATGGAGTCAGCTTCCGCCACCTTATCAGATAGGGCATTCCAGGTCCTGATAATTCAGATGGTCAAAATTCTCAGCATCGCCTCTCTGGATCTTCTCCTAATTTTTGAGTCCATTAGCTGTAGTTATTGACCAAAGGGGTGTTCTTTTTTTCAAATCCTATCCAATCCATCAACATCTCTCATCAGCTTGAAAATCTCTGAGGGACTCTGTTAAACTTCTCTGTTCCAAGGGCAACAGACCTCACTTTTTTCAAACTTCTCTGAGAACTGAAATCCCTTATTCCTGGTAACATCCTGTTAAAACTCTGGGGTTAGTACAGGACTCTGGGACTAGAAGTCAGCAGCACTTAGATGATGCGAAGACTCTAGCAGAAGGGAAGTTCATTATTTATCTTATTCTTAAATGGTAAAGTTCATTGGAGTTTAACTGTTATGTTGGTACAGTTAACGGTGGTAAGAAGTGACACTAATTTATTAAGTAATTAATTGATCATACAGTTAAGTACTTAATTAAGATACAACAAAGATGGCAGGACAGGTGATGTGTGACATGTTGCAGTTGCAGAATGGAGGAGTTCCTGGATATCAGTGTGGTCAAACACATTTAAGAAAGTGTTTGCTGCTGGAGTAGCTTCAGCTCAAAGTTTGGTGGCGGCTTGGCTCTGTTAATTACTGGTGGCATTGGCACAATAGAGAGAGATGATCTAAGTTTATGAAAACAGGATGTCGAAGTCATTTGAGTAATGGTGAGGAATGATAAACGCAAGGAGTCACTTCTGAGATTGGTCTATGGACCCTCTAACAATAACCAGATTGCAGGATAAAGTATAAAGGAAGAAAGAGTGGGATCTTGTCAGAAAGTTGCGGAGATTTATCTAGGGTGATCTTGATGCACATAATTGACTGGGAAAGAAAAACTTATGAACATGAGAAATGAGAGCACAAGTAGGCCATTCAATCCCTCAAGCCTACCCCACCGTTCATCAGGATCATGGCTGATCTGCTTCAGGCTTCAACTCCTTTTTAGTGCCCTCATAGTCGTCAACAGTCTGATATTTCAAAAGTCTGTCTAACTCCTCTTTAAATACTTAACGGTCATCTGGCTTGTATAACTCTCTGGAATGGAGAGGTTCAGACATTCACTGTCTTCTGGGAGAAGTTTCTTTGCATCTCAATTGTAAGTGAGTTGTCCTTTTTTTTTCTGTAACTGTGTCCCCTAGTTTAAGAGATCCCCCTCAAGTAGATACATTTTCTATTAATCCCCCTCAGAATCCTGTTAGTGTGGAAAGTGCTGCTTTCTGTCACTGGTATTTAGAAATCTGTCAATGTCTATTTTAAACATACTCTGTGATTGAGTTTCCATAACCCGTGTGGAGTAGAAAATTCCAAAGATTCATAAGTCTCAGAGTTTGAAAAAAATCTTCGCCTTTGTCCTGTATCACCATTGCCCAACCCGCTTTGAAACTGTGACGCCTCTTTCTATCCTAGACTTATCAACCGAGGGATACAGACTACTTTCATCCACCATTTTAAGTTTCTTTTCGGTTTCAGTGGATCACCTCTCATTCTTCAAAACCCTTGAACATACAGGCCTAGTTTCTCCAGTCTCTTTTCTTAAGACAGCCCCACAATCCCTGCAACAATTCTTGTGAACCTACAATGCGTCCTTTCAATAAAAATAATATAGTTCTTAAAGGGGCCCAAAACTGCACGCAGTAGTCCAAATGCACTCTAACTAAGGTTCTGTATAATTAAAGACTTTGCAATTTCTGTACTAAAATCCCCCTGTGATAAAGCCAACATACCAAGAGCCTTCTGAATTTATTCCTGCACCAGTACGTTAGTCTTCGGTGACTGATTAATCACAATATACAGGTGTCTTTGTATCTCTGCACCTTCTAATTGCTTATTATTTAAGAAATTTTCTGCACATTTGTTCCTCCTACCAAAGTGGATACCCTCACATTTTTTCCACATTATATTTCATCTGCCGTTTAATTTCCCATTCATTAAATCTGTCCAAATTCCCTTGAAGCTGCTTTGAATCTTCACCACAAGACACATTCCCAAATAAATTAGAGATATGACATTTGATTTCCACATTCAAATCATTGACATTTACTGTGAACAAATGTGGCCTAAATACTGAATCTTGCAGTATCCCAGAAGTCACAGCCTGCCAAAGTGACAATGACCTGTGTGTTACTAGTCTATTTTCTGCCTGTAAGCCAAAATTTAAGCCATGCCAGTACTTTACCTCCTATAATGTGCGTTAACATTGTTATCTAACCTCATGCGGGAGACTTTATCAAAAGCCTTCTGAAAATCCAAGTATACTATGTCCACTGACTCCCGTTTATGAACTCCACTGGTAATATTCTCAAAAAACCCAGAAAGGTTTCTCCAACACAATTTCCCACACTCAAATCCACGCTGATTATGCCCATTCAGATTATTATTACCCAAGTGTCCACTTATCACTTCCCACATGGTAGATTGTAGCATTTTCCCTACTATTCATAGAAGGCTAACAGGTTTGGAGCTCGCTATTTTCCTTCTCCCACGCTTCCTAAATATTGGGGTGGCTTTGCTACTTTCCAGTCTGTGGGAATGATTTTAGAATCTATAGAATTTTGGAAGATGATCACTAATGCATCCTCTATCTCCATAGATACCTTATTTAAAATTCTAGGATTTCTAATAGCAGACTGTGTAAACTTACTAACCTATGGTCCCATTCATTTCTCCAACACAGCCTACTTGCTAATATGGATTTCCTTCTATCATTCATTTTCTCTAGTCCCTTAGATCATTAATTCTAGGAGATTTCTTGTGTTTTCCTCAGTGGAGGCAGGTACCAAGTAATTACTTAACTTCAGCAGGTCTGGCAGCATCTGTGAAGAAAAAAATCAGAGTTAGCGTTTCGGGTCTGGTAACCCTTCCTCAGAACTTTTGGTAGCTGGGAAAACGTCAGCTTATATGCAGAAAACAGGGATGGTGATGGGGTAGGGTGTAAACAGTAGGATAGATCCTAAAGAGAGAGAAGAGCAGTGGATAGACAAAGGAGTTGATAACGATCTGGCTGGGAGGGTGAATAGTTGTTAATGGGATTACTAGTGACTAACAATAGGTAGTGTGTAATGACAGGCTATGCGATAACAAAGGCTTGGTGTGTGGGATAGGGGGCTAAGACATGAGAGAGTTTAGGCCCTAAAATTATTGAACTCAATATTGAGTCCGGAGGGCTGCAGGGTCCCCAAGTGGAAAATAAGGTGTTGTTCCTCCA